GAAAGCTCAACCAGCCTCTACTAAAAGTGTATTTTTGAGCATGTATTAAAAACACGTTATTCTAATAGCACTCGCCACGTGATGCATTGCATTAGTCAGTAATTAATCTTTGAAAATATATAGGAAATCAATACAACTAAGAAGCCTAAATTCTTACATTGCTATTTCAGACAATTTAATGATAATAAGTGCTTTTTGCGGAGTGTGAAATTAGCGATAAAATACTTATGACGTAATTCCCTTATACAATAATAACTTTTAGTAACCATAACAGTTGGTTCATACTCTTATCATGTGGAGATAAAGCCTCATAGCGTAATGATTACTGATTTGTTGACAACATTGTTCAAAATCGTTTGACAATCAAAATCTAAGGAATCGCAATAGACATTAATATTGTAACGGAAGCTAAAGCTTGAGTGGTGACACTATGAAAAGTGGGACAATTTAATCATATCCAGTTTTCTGCGCATACTATGCCAACTGACTTATTGATATTATACACACTTCAGAAACATTTTTGTACCTTTTAGGCTGAGCATTAAGGCCAAACAACAAATACAAGAAGCACTGAGGGAAAAAAAGAAACATAATCCGTAAGGCAATGTCTAAATAACCGCACTGAATGTGAATTCGAGTCTTACTTCATTCATGTGAATGAAATTTATGGTGGTATGCAGATAAACTGAAAATAAACAGGCTTATCGTTCCATTTTAACCGCAGTTTTACCTGTTACATGCTTGAAAAGCAGTCGTGCCGCATAGCAGTCTTTAGATAAAAAGTATCTGTCCACCGTAAAGAGAAGATACGGAATGATTATAGGTTTTCAGTTATAAGTACTTTCGTCCATTTGCTTACCTGAAATGCAAACGTCAGAAGCAGAATTTCTGTTGGGTGAGTTTGACATTTGATGAGGTGGACACACGTATTATACTTACAGAACCACTTTCTTCCTCGGTGAGCAGTACTGACTGAAGCTCACTTACTTATAAGGATCGTTAGGTTTACCAGGCTTATAACGTGACTTTAATCCACGAATCCGCTTTCCATTGTTCTTAGCCATCTGGGGTTGCATTCTTTTATCCTTCTAGGATACTAGGAAAGTTAAGAACCAATGGTAACCAACTTTTGATAAAATATTTCACAGTTGATCACAGCGTCATGTACCTGTTCACTTCCTTTCATTTTTGAGATTTTAAACACTGATTATTTTTCCCTCTCTTCATACTTACATATTTCGAATATATATATCGTTATTTTTGCTTCAATCTACCCTTTTCTAAGTTTGCTTTTATTGAATAGTGTTGACGTAATCTGATTTGTCTGGCGTCAGTTCACTTCAAGCTACAATACATAATGTTCTCTGAGAGATTCAGAGTTGTTTCTAAACCGTAACGGTATACAACAAGAATATGTGATTTAGTAACAATACCAGTTAACCATTCAGCACTCATCATAGTCTCATAGTACTGGCCATTTCAAGATGTCACTAGCTTTCAAACTGGTTGTCTCCCACGCGACATCTAACTGGGATATCCTAAAACTTCTTGTTGCATTCAAACATCCTGCAATGTAGGTACACTGATGCCATTAGGACAGCGGCAGGTCTGCTAAGAACATTGGAAGGCCTTGTTAAGGATGTCTGTTGCATTTCGGAGGACCGCACTGAAGATCACAGTAAAGTGCTTAGAATATCCTCTCCATCTGAAAGTTCGAATAGGTCAAGTAGGCGGTGTCTATTTGTTGTTATTGCCTTTGCGTCGACGGATTGCAGCCTCGGTGCACTTAAGAACGAGATTTACAACCAATTGAGCGATCTTTTGAGACAAGCGCGTCAGAGGGATATCGTAGTGCTAACTAAGGGCTCCACTATACAGGTCGGGCGTGTAAGCCCAGAAGATAGTCGTCTAGGTGGTCATTAGGTATTGTGTGGTTCCAAGTGAGATGATGGAGGCCGTCTTCTGCAGCTTTACGCAGATCACCACCTGTTTTTAGCCAGCATCAACTTTCGAAACAGCCATCGCCACAATTCTTCGTGACATCCCTCCTCTGCCAACCAAGTCAGGACTCACATTTATCATAGTGCTTTTAGTTTTCGATGGCGAGAAGGCGTACATGACTTCCGTTGCTTCTGGAATACATGCCTGGACTCCGACCATGAAATAGTGTGTGCCACGTTCGTCTTGCAATGTGACAGGGTTCACAAACTGCGTCATCTCCATATTAATGTGAGCCCACTGGTAGAACATGTTACCTCTTTGAAATACACGGCAGAATTACAGTCAGGTCTAGCTAGCAACCCTCCAAGTAGTATAAATGAACATTGGTCATATTTGTAAGGCATCATGTAAATGGTGAGTGAAGCCGCTTGCGGCTTAAAGGAATACTCGCGTAAAAACCACTGGATTTCTTCGAGTTCTTTGAAACTCCTGAACGAAAGCCGAATCATTCCGGTGGACAGCAAGTACAGAAGCATGCAAAAGGAGCTTATGTGCTAGATTAAGTAGTATTTGAGTAAAGGCTGCGAAGCCTGATGGTTAGAACACGCATATGAGATGGAGTCAGCGCCTACAGACTAACAGCATCCGAAGGCTGTTCCAACTCATCCGAGCCACCTGTAGCAAGTAGCAAAATGTCAGACAAACGTTCCATGCAGCAGATAGTTCAGCAATTTCCATCCTAAAAAGATGCTTTGAAAGCTGTTAGAGCATTCTGAGAGGCAATTTAGGTGGCTTTCAGAGTCGATACCGACCATCATCAGATATAGGGATTTGTAATCAATACCGACCCAACAATAGAAGCGGAGGTTCTAAAGGAAGTCCAAGTGTTGGAGCGCCATAAAGCACCCGGACCAGACAATCAATACTACCTTTTATAAAGACGGTGGACAGGCTGTCTCTTGTCATGGATTTGACTGGATCAATAAGATTGGTATGGGAAAGTTAGGATGTTCTGCTATTGTGGAGTGAAGCCATCACTATGCCCGTCTTTAAAAAGAACCAACTTAATATATACGACAATCATAGAGTTATTAATTTGCTACCAGTAACGTCTGAAATTTTATCTTCTGTTTTGCAGTCTGTGCTAAACACTTGAGGAATCGATTAGCCAGGGGAAGGCTATGTTTTTTTCAGGCCATGAATAATGTGATCACCCTTCGTCAGTTGTTAGAAAACAGTCACAATTATTACATACCACCATCCTCTGTTTTTCTTGATATTAGAGCTGCCGTCGATTCGTGGGACAGAACTGTTCTCTGGAACTATCTGTTAGAAAGGGTTTTACCAGAGGAGTTTGCCAACCTCCTGAAAGTTCTATGCAGAAATACATCCGGCAGAGTGAAGGCATAAAACTGTCATCCCTGTTCACAACCAACAGTGAGATTAAATAATGTTACTCAGTCTCTCCATTTCTCCTAAGCTTTGCCATCGATGGCATTCTGGAGTCACCCTTGAAGGACATATGTGGCGGTGTAGATCTGCTTCCTGAGGAGAGACTTTACTAGCATGCAGACAATACCGTCGTATAGTGTTATAGCATTTAGGCTGCCTTAAATTACACTTAATCAGTTGGTGATCAGTGTCTATAAGTATGGCATTTGCTTTGCTCTGTTTAAGTGCAAAGTACTGTTACAAGATTGGCAGGGGCCTGTTCCTGCACTCATTTCTGCAGGTGAAACACTTCAAGCTGTCAACAAGTTCGTGTATCTGGGTAGTTGTATGAATGCTGGTAGAGGTATGATGGTTGAGATTTCTAACCATTTAGTGAAAGCAAGGGTGAAATACGCTAATTTGAATTACCTTTGGAGCCGTTGTGACATTAGCCTGGCTTTGAAAGGTGGGGTTTTGTTTTATTAGTATTGTGCCCAATATCGCAGTATGTTTTGTGTTTTTATTAAATAATCATAGAATAAAGTCGGTAATTAAAACGAATTAGGAAAAAGATTCGTTCTTATCGTCAGTCTCAGGTGTTATTGATTCTCCACACCACCTAACATAAAGGCATTGTTTTGAGTATTCATGACTACGAAAATGCTGATGACTTAAATCATTTTGACAACAGGATGCAGCAATCGTTTTCTTTTTTGGTGTAAAGTGTGTGAAGATCAGACCGGTTTTGAGGTTGATTTTATCGCTAACCCATATCATTTAGGAGGTGATAGAAAGCTAAGAAACATTTTAAGTATATTTGCCCTAGTTTAAGTCTCTTCAGAGCTGTAAAGTCAAGACATGACCAGGTGCCAAACATAGGACCTTTGCGTTAAGAGTCAAGAGATTGAGACCTAATCGGCTATGAAATAAAACTCCTGTTAGTTTTCCATATATCAGCATCATCAGCCTAGTGAGTATCTGTCCCCAGGTTTTAATTTCTGGTTCTAACCATTAATGACTTTAAATGAAAACCCAAGGATGTGATCTTCTAATCAGCAAGCTGTTTCACATATCCACTGCCTAAAACCTAAAATTTCAGTGTATGTTAAACAAAAGTATTTCACTTATACGTGTTTAGAATAAGAGATAGTCTGCTACTTTTCTGAGTGACCTCTTAATTCTGGAAAATATATCACGGAATCTCCAAAAGCTTCATTACATAAAAATTTACTTGTAAAACCCGATGCTCTAGTCAGCTGTAAAGTTAATTTATGCATTAAAATCTGCGCCAATTGGGCAGTAGTTCTTTTGATTTATTCGTTAAAGCTAGTTTCATTTTACTTTCTGTAAACAATATTAGTGTGTGTGTGTGTGTGTGGATGAAACCGCCAACTTAGGATTCGAAGCTTGTTACAGGAATGTAAGTCATTTGTTCAATGTATCGGTACGTGTTCAGTTCAGCTAAACTTTGAGAGATACTTTTGCCACTTTACTCATCCTTAGATAATCTATGTTATATGGTATGCTGTACTAAATGAGACGTTTTACCTAACCTAACTAATCACACATTACGAATACTCACAATACACTCATGTGTTAAATTAAACACAAAAAATAGGAAAACTTACTTTTTAATTGTGATTTGGTTGTCTTGCAGAGTCTACAATCAAAAGAAATAGACAACAGTTAGGAAAGATAGTTTTTGCTTAATTTAAAAATACCTCTTGAATGATTATAATAATCTAAGATGGTAATTAGGGAAGTTGGCTGTGACTAGAAGTGAAATCCTAGATGTACACTTCATGCTACACTGAACTTGTCAAGTAGATGTAGCTGCATTCACAGTAATGGATAGTGTTCCTGCTGAGTTAAGAACCCACCATCCAACCTTACAGAGTAGTTGTTGTCCAGTGGGACAATGAAACCTTCTCAGTTAAGTTCTGCAGAGCATCCACCTGAGCTACAAATCTTCTCCACCATTTTATATATATGCAGAGAATTGTTACTTTTGCGCAAATAATATAACTATTGGTTGGAGGATTTCATCATGAGTTGAAATTGGCTAGAGAACCATTGAGAAGCCTGCAGGGAGTACTGAACAGCTATTCCGTCCTAGTTTAGGACTCTTCAACAGTACGCACCCACCGCCCTGGTTCGAAACCACGACCTTCTGGATACAAAGCGAGCTAGCTCGCAGATCACTGAGCCACTGGGACACAATCCAGTGGCCAGTCCATGAGTTCTAACTTCTGCCAATTCATGGCATAGTGAAACCACTTGGCAATGTCTTTTTCGATGAGTTACTGCCTCAGCTTCAACCTGCTGCACTCTACTGGTCACGGCTTCCCAATAGTATCCCAAGTCGCTGCGTAAATAGGGCCAGTCGCTAGTGAACATCACATTAATTTCCAAGTATAGGTTTTGGAGGCATTGTGTTTGATTGGTTGAAGGTTGATGGCAGGTCACTACAAAACCAATGATTGAAACTATAACTACTAGTAAAAATTAATGAATTTCTTTCCACGAAATCGGATGGAAACATTAAAAATCATAAAAATATTTTGTTGATAAGGTGAGTGAGATCTTCTTTGATTTGTGCTGGCAATAAATTGTAAAATACGCCTGAATAATTGAAGCTTCCCACCTGAACGCATGCTGTGAGCATTTTTAGACCAGATGTGATCAGTTGCAGACACCTGAGTTTTTTTAACCTGAAGAGTACCAGTCGAGTTTGAAAACTGGAACCTTTATGAACCAGCAAACTGTTGGTTTCTATCGTAGTATGCTAATGCTGCAAGACATTTTGAAGCTGAAAGATGCTTAATTTCTTCTTCCAGATAAGCAAGACAGGAATATTTTTACACCATAAAGTCTGTAGTTTAGTTTAGATATTGTTTGCTAAAAAAAATATATATCCGCAGTAAAAGTGAACTGTAATGGTGTCAGATTATTTTGTTCTCTGTCCAACTGCTTACCCTTAACAGAATGTTGCATGTTGGAATTCATTTAAGTAGTTCATGAGCAAAACAAACATAGTACTCACTTATCTGATGAAAACCCAACCTTTTATAATATATGTGGGTGATGTAAGAGTAAGTAATTGTAGTGTAGCGGTAGGTAATTCCCCCATAATCATTGGCCCCTCACTGTTTAAGTCGACTTGTTTACCTGAAGGTGTACGGTCAAGAATCCACGCCATCGTGTTATGTTCATCCGTTCATTCGTTCGTGCACGATCCCTATCTAGTTAAGTAATCATATCGTACTCTGATTCAGTCCCGAAATATAATCAGTAATTTGGCCGATAAATTCTGTTGTTTTGCTTTGCCTTTGATCTATGCGGAACGAATACTATAAAAGTTGTGGGTATTAGATGTTGCGTTAGTATACTTCGTACTATCCGTGAATGTCAACACTCTCAGCCTCTAAAGTAGCATAGACATGTAGGGGAAGATACATCGCAAACCACAGTTGCGTCTGATAAAAGAATAGGCACGTCCTTGAACTGCAAGGAGGACTTTTGGCGACAAGTAAGGATTTCAGCGTCGTCTCTTTGGAACTGCGCCATACGTTCGAGGCTGATGTCTACTGAAGTTTCGAGCTAGTATATGTCACCTCTTGGAAGAGAATCAGCTAATACATTTGCGTCACCTTTAATGTACTGCATGTCAGTGGAAAACTGGAAAATATAGTCCAACTGTCTAGCTTCTCTGGGAGAGTGTTTATCGAGTGACGTAGTGAAAGCATACCAAAGGGGCTTGTGGTCCATAAAAATAGTGAAATGCCGACCCTGTAGTAAGTAAAACGCTTGACCGCTAAATAGATAGTCAACGGTTCTCTCCCGAATTTGCTGTAACGTGTCTACAATAGATTACTACAAATTGGCGTCGCGATGGAACTAAATAACCTGGGAAAATTTCCTATAAATGCTACTCCGCGAGAGATTGCTGATTATTTGGAATGCTTCGATGCGTGGTGCATTTCAAAGAATGTTCGGGATGATAAAATACCAGCACATTTCATCACTGCTATTGGGCTTGATGCATACAGCCTAGTAAAGAATCTGGCGTTTCCAGATAAACCCATTTCTCTGCCATATGCTAAGCTCCGTGAACTTCTGATACATCACTTCCATATAACTACTTTTGAGACGAGAGAGACGGCTCAGTTCAATAAACTGGTTCGTGCTCCCAACCAGAAGATTAGAGACTTCATTCTGCAACTTCAAATACAAGCCTCAAAGTGTAACTTTGGAGATCAGCTGCATACTCAACTACGTGATCGTCTAATTGCTGGAATCAATATTCCTAAGTTAGAGAAAGAGTTAATTCAGATTCCTTCTTGTACTTTCAAACTGCTAAAGATGTATGTATTACATATGAAGATGTCAATAATGAATACTCTGCTCCCACTACGTCAGTGTCTGATGTTATGCTTTCTAAAGTCGAAAATACAAGTGGTAATGGAAAGCAATCCAAACTGCCGTCCACAGGTAATAGAATGCAGCGAGAGATCAAAAACATTAAACCGTGTTTATCCTGTGGAAAGTTACATCTACGAAGCACTTGCCGTTTTCGGGGTGCTAAGTGTCATAAATGTGGTAAAGTTGGACACATCAAGACTGTTTGCAGAAGTTCGAATACTTATGTTGCTCAACATTCTTATAATTCTCCCAAGCTGTCTAGTAAAATGGAGTCAATGTGTCTTTCAACTTTTCAAAATACTCAAGCTAATCCAATGAAAACCTCCACTACAAGTTCGGCAACTCAAGCGTCAACTGTTTTCAAAAATGAGGTAGCCGAGTTACAATGTGAACTGTCGAAAACACGGAAAAAACTGAATGAGATGAGAGAGCAACTGATTAAAATGGAGGAATTGCTGCATATGCATAGACTGCGTCTGTCGAATGCAGAGCATACAAGTACCCGTGAAAGTCCTGCAAAACTATTCAAATCTCGAATTCTCAAAAAGCATCTGATGTCCACGACTTCTAATGTACATTATTACAAAGATAATAACTATAGACCTTCTGTTGGAATTATACTACAAAAAATGGGAAATCGAGTGGTGAAGATATTAGACATCAAAGATCACTCAGTTCATAACAGACACCTGGACAAAGTGACAATAAATGAAGTAGGTCGTTCCAATTATAATATTATTGATTCCGCTAATAATCCTGATTTTGTAGATAATTCAGAAATAGGTCCAGATAATACTGATGAAAATAATATCACAGAATCAGTTAGGTCGAAGCTACTTGCAAGCAAACCGAGACATCGTTATAAATACGCAAGGAGATATTCGAGGTGTGGCGGATGTGGTGATTGACAATTTCTATCTCTGTATTGTTTAAATACTTACTGTTGACTGTTGATATGTTTCATATATGAATTGCATTCGAATTCCGCTAAATACAAATTCCTGATTTCTGCCCTCTCTGGGTTTTGGTTGGATTCGTGTAATTCGGTCATCTCGAAATACTAATATTCCGATTACAATAAATTACTGCAGTGTCTCAGCCGGTTCTAACTTCTTAGAAAAGAAAGCAAGAGCGGTAACTTCATTCACCTTTTTTGTAATACTGCCCACACTGCCACTTGTGAGGCATCTGTTCACAAGGTGAGAGATGCTTCGGGGTTGATGAAAGACAGCATAGCGGCTTTAGACAAAGCGTTCTTGGCGTCACAGATTCACGTGCTTGCAATGATCATTAGAACGTTTTAGGATCACTTTTAAGGAGATCGGTTAGAGGTTGCAAGATGGAGGCACACGAAGGAATATAACTTCAATGGAAATTAAACATCTAACAAAAAGGTGTACAATCATATTGCTATGTACTCCACACAAATAGCTAGGTCAATTTATGATATTTAGTAAGTACAAACGGTTGATATGTACTCAAAATTACTAACCTCACCTTATTTACACAAGCCAAGTTGACAAACAGTCATAAAACAACTTTCATATCATACACTTTGAAGGTTCTGAATCCGAACCCCAGTGGATGCGTACTGCCTATGATTCCTAAACTAGGATGAAACAGCTGTCCAGTACTCCCTGTTTTTGAATGGTTGTCTAACTGATATCAATCGGTGGTCAAACTCGTAGAAACAAATCTAACTATTACAAACCAACTCTTGAAAATTAATCTGATACTCGCTAATGACTTACTACAGGACGGAGTTTCCTGGAGTTCTAGTTAGATGTCGTGACCAATGAGGTTCGACCAGTCAAGTGTGAAGATGAATTTCCCACTGATGACATTAGTTGGTGGTCGTGCTAAATCACAAATTAGTAGGAGTTAAAATTTATGAACTCACTATTGGATTAGGTGACAGCAGCTGAATGGTATACGAGCTTGCCTGGTAACCAGAAGGTCGTGGATTCGAACCCCCTAGTGATGGGTGCGTACTGCCGATGAATCCCGAACTAGGATGAAAAAGTAATCCCTAGTTTTCAATGGTTCTCTAACTGATATGTATATGTACATATATCAAGTTGCCTGAAGTGAAGCATTTCTACCTAAACGAATACGCCATTTTACCGACAAGCTGGTCACTTGATGATTGAGTAATTTTCTTTTAATAAACTCAAGTAGAAATAATTGTGTTATTTAGTTTGCTTTTAGTCCTTCATTTCTTTATTAACATGTGAAATTAAGTTCACCTTTTATAAAAACTCATTAAAGCCACCAATTATATTCACACTATTACCGTTAATACTAGTGGCTTTTATTATCTTAAATAGTCATTTCATTGTGATTACCATACTGAATATCAGTCTTTGTTGAGCTAATCACTAATCACTAAGAATTAATTGGGTGCACACAGTGTACACTCATACTGTGTCAGTTCATTGTGTGGTGAACAAGAGGATAGAAGAATTGACATAGATGAGTAGTTCAATTAAACTTTGAAGGTACAAGTGTATGCGTGTGGTTACAATAAAGTTTACTCTAAATACTAAAGTGACTGACTGAAATTCTGTATCTCAATTAATATTAATTAAACTGAGAAGAGTAAAAAAAATCTATATGTGCTCATCTACGCGTTTTGTAAAAAAGTAACATAGTTCTATAAACATGTTAACACTGTGCATTTATATGACTTAGAGTAGTATGAAAAGTCTGGAATCTCTGTATTTTTATTATTATTATTATTATTACATTGATCAGATGAACGGAAAGAGTTGTTACAGCTTTTCTAGTTACATTTTAGGCGTGTGATATTAGCTGCTTGTAATTTTCGGTATTTTTCACTCGTGTGTGTGTGTGATCTCTTTAAGTAATTTTAGTGGGTAGTAACCATCAGTAGAATTCAAGATGCGCATTTCATCCAATTCGAGACTCATCACCGGATGTACCTGCATGCTCCAGTGACTGGTGGCCTTCCTGCTTAGACTCAGCACCAGTATTCCTAGTTTCAGACGCCGATGCGTTATCCATCAGACCACTTGCGCCACAAGAACCACCTCTTGTTCAATGGACATCAGTTATCGTTTGTTTTCAATTCAATTTTGGTCCGATCAGTTAACGTGACCTCTTTGTTAATGTGGAGACTTTAGAAGGTGCACAAAAGTTCCTCGCAAACAACATCTGTATTTCACTGAGCGTTTGTTGCTTATGTATACAAAGAAGTCACTTTACAACTTATCTTAAATTCTAACTATCGATTATTGGTTGATTGTGTAGGATTTAAAGCTAGTGGAAGGTTGGCCAGTAGTAGTTTGTGGTAGTGTAGTGTGCCACGATAATGCCTAAATCCACTCAAACGTGGTGCAGCATATATTAGTATTTTCAAGATAAAGCTATTCGGTTGGTGGCGGCAACCAGTGGAATCTAAGATGTGCTGTTTGTCCGATTCAGGACTCGCTATGACGTCATGTTGGCATTGGCAGTGAACGATGGTGTTCCTACAGATAATAAAACACCCAATTGAGGCTAAATGCACCAAGCTAATTGCACTGCTAGCTGCCACAGTATCTCTTTCTTGGAGTGCTATCAAGACCTCCGTAATAGAAGGCGGCATATCAGTAGGTGCTGAGTATTTCAGCCCAATGTCATCAATCACTGTGAAATGCAAAACGGCTTTTAAATATCGGTAATTAGCTGGTCACAATTAGTATTTTATCTCTCCTATTTCCATAAAATAATGCTTCTACTTTAGTGGCATTTTCCGCATGTACTCAGTCGTTGTTGGTCTGTTTCCCTCAATTATTCAAAAGAATGAATAGACAAATAAACTGCTTACCTAAATGGACAACCATTGGGCAGAAAATCACTGCAAGTAACTACTGAATTCAACTGCCATTTTGATCCATGACTATTAAGTGCATCCATTGTACCGTTTGACAAGACATCATCTAACGATTCTCCACAATAACCTTCTAATAAATGAACAACCGTATCTGCTTCCTCTGGGGTTGAGAAGGTGAAATTTATAAAATCGAGTTGACCAGTACTGGTGTCCGTTGATTGTTCTATACCAATTTTCACCTGGAAACGTTCTGTTTCTTGGATTTGAACTTTAGATACAAGAACCTGTCGGATACTTGCGAAATAGGCCAAATGCCTGGGCTGAAGAAAAGGGGAATTAAAGAAATGTATATTAGTGGGAAAAATTTTTAAATGTGCGTATATTCACTGCATTCATCTCTTTTGAAACGTCCGCTTTTCGGTATGGATGCCAAACCGTTTGGAAATAGGTCTCATGCAGACGAATGGCCAAACTTTAAGGTAGGAGGAGGGAAACGTTGTATTCCCTCCTAATCAAAGAGTTTACACTAGGCTCTTGTGAAAAATATAATAACGTGCACAATTTTCGTTAATGTATACCGATGGCAAAATAATTCTTTATTCCTTCGTCAAGTGAACGTGCCTTCGAAACAAAATAGAATCCCAACTGTTGACCGGTTTATTTTCCAAAAACTATTTTTAATGTTTTTTAGCTTTCTTTTTGCTATGGTTGTCTCTGAGAAATTACATAACTTAACTGAATATTGTCTATTTCTTGAAAAGGAATACTATTGGAAAAGTGTGTATCCCTTCGTTTGGCAAAGTATTTTCATGTATCGACTTGTGCTTGTTTTCTCTGAAGTAACTTGTTATTTTAATTAATTAATTTTTCCTTCACGTTCCCAGTGGAACATAGGGCTTCAAGCTAGTGACTTGAAGTTTCTGTAGCAGTGTTTATTTTACAGGATGGGGTTGCTAGCCTCATGCCCAACCTTTCCTCTTTACCAGCATTACTTCTGGCCTAGCGAGGTAAAGGAATATGTCGGCCGGGGATCGAACCCCGAACCTTGTGCATAGTCGGCGAGCGTCCTAACTGCTACACCACCGACGCACATCATAACATCTTAAATGATTATAATTGTCTCCATAATCAAGTAGTATGATTAATATAAAGGTGATAGAAAACACTCACCTGACGGCCGTTTTCAACAATTATAGACACCTGAAAACGCGGTCCAATGATTAAATCCACTGGTATACCCCATCCTGCCTGGAAAAGTAGGAAACAATTGAACATGTAGTGATTGCTTAGCTACTGAAGAACAAGCTGGTCACTCCTTGAAATACATTTCTAACAGTTTACTGTCTGAAAACAGAATATTCAATGTCAGTTGATGCATAGTAATATTTGCATTGCATTAAGGAAAAAAGCGTTCCTCATTAGATTTATAGAAATCACTAAATTAAATCAAGTAACAACGACACACTGTATTCAAGATGTTCAGAGCTTACAGCAGATATATAGAAGTAAGACAGACTTAACGGTAACGTCTAGAATGAGTGTAAAGTTTCTGTTTATAAAATAATATAGCTTAAAATAAAAGATCTAAACCGTCAATGGTAAAAGACGAAAACACCTATCGCTTTATTGTTTAACACTCTTTTAGTAGGAGTGTCATATGAGAGAAGGTCTTTTGGCAGAAAGCATGCTCAAAACTTGAAACATAAATGTAATCTTCTCATCACTTTTGCTTTTCTCTTTAGTGGTTCTTACCAACACATTTCAAAGTTAACAAATCCATTGCTTGTTCGTGGAAAGTAGTGGGAGAATTCCATGGGGAACTTCACTTTCAAAAGTGATTAATAGAAGTAACCTTCTCGGAATATGGTGTCAAATTTGCCGTATTTATAGAATTCTAGTTCCTGTGTCTCAGTTTAATTGAAGTTATGTAACTCTGAAATCTCTATAATTTATATAAACCCATTCAAACCACTCTGTTATAGCATGATGTATTCTATGGAAGAAAATGTTTATTTGTCTAATTTTATCATTTTTCCACATCGTAATTATTATGGCTGTACGATAAGATAAGTGAATGTGAAATTCCAAAAGTAATACAAGTGTTTTAAAAGTTCCAGCTGTTTTCATGAGTAGTTCTGACTGTTAAAATTTAGTTAGTGAAACAACAACCCTTGAAACGTCTTTTTTTTTATTTTGCTCACCGCATCTTAGTCATGATTTTGGTAGTAGTCTGGCTTATAGCTTGAACATCATTAATTTCGTTGACTACCTTCTCTAATGAATGTAATTTAATCCTACATGTCGTTTAAGTAGTAGGCTAACATCAACTTCTCATTCTTTTGTCTTACATATTCCTGAAGTGACTGAGTGACTGAATCATGACCATTATCATTTCAACAACTAACCCAGGTGGTAAATAAAACACCCTTACACATGGTAGGCTTTATGTCTCGACGTAGTTATGCGGAAAATATGGCTTATATATATTTCATGGATGTTTGGTGTAAAATTTAACAGCATACCATCACAGTAACTGAAACATTTTTCGTTTACTTTAATTAATCCCATTTTTTCTCAGCTTGTTTTTCTCCACATCAACAACTCATCCAACAAATTATCTCCTCCTACGCCTTCTCCAAATGTCTTGATTTCTGTTCACAGGTATGTTGCAATTTTGACAATATCATATTACTGACTCCTCAAAATTGTGCAGCGTTTCTTCTCACTATTTACTTTATTCGCACAATTTCGTGCCCCTCTTTTAATTCTCAATGTGGAATGAACACTGGTTGTCTCCTATCTTGCTATTAATTATCAGTCCAATGTTCAAACTAAGCAGACTATCAATCTGTTTTTCTTTTAGAAAGTGATTCACATATTTTCAAACAAAATAAATTTGCTGAAGATAAATGTCCCTTAAAATCACTCACTGTTATTAAGTATGTTAGGCAATAAGAGTAATACATTAGAATACAGGTTTTATAAGACAGTATCAAGTTTATTTGAAGAGTAAAACTATAACAGGATAATAAATACCAAATATTTCTTTTTATTCAACATCCTGTAACATAAAATGACAAATAAATAAGTATGCCAATGCGTGTATGCATTTAGTGCAGTGTACAAACAAACGAATTTCTGTACACTTTTGACAGCTTGTGCTGAAAGTATTACCAGAGAAACACTGTACACTCTGTTTGTTAATATTAGGTGACGCATACTGAATGAATAATTATAAATTCATTTCAAAAGAAATTTTAAACATTCTTTTTGAATAACTAAAATTTGTTGATTAATCTTTATTTTTTGTTAATTCAAATTAAGAACACACTGAAACTTAATACACTTTGAAATATTTGTTAAAACAGTATTCTGCGTGTTTTCAGATTAAATCAGGCACGGTTTGTAACCTACATGGATTAACAACACATCTCATAGATTCCCTGACTAATGGGTTAAAGTATCCAGCCATCTATGAGTACCATCTATGATTATTGTGAACATCCAGCTGATGAACACGAATGCTTCTCATTTCTGGAAGACCGTCGTTATTGCATAATAAAAAAGGAGACTTTGTTTACTCTAGCCCCCACATGTGAAATCACTTTACAGCCACGTATCTTTAGATTACTCGGTATAGGTAGTAGAACAGCTAACTTCATCAAATGCGTGACAGACCCAACTTGCTTTTTCCCTAAAGTACTTCATGTGGTGACGATTATTAAAGTATATGTTCAAGTTATTATTCTTGATGTGTCTTTATAACACTCACAGCAGCTAAATTATCTCTATAAGTATTTTGACACATAAAATATAGAGTTCACAAAAAGAACATGAAGGGATCAGAATTAAATGTGATTATGAAAATTAAATGACAGATTGTTTGCTTGAGTACCGAGAGTTTTGTGCAACAGAGCTTATGATTTCCAACAGCTAGTGGAATTCAGGTAAGTGCTCATAAATAATGCACTCATCCATCAATCGACAAGGCTCACAGACATTCCAAATTCTTCAGTGGACATAAATGCACAACGATGGAAGTTAGAAGCAGAAAACAGTTTAGTCAATAGACTGACGTGACCTCACGATCTAATATTACACAACTTCACAGAATCAAATGTAAAAATATTATTTCTTGAAAACTTCAGTATCAGCTTTTAAATATAATTTTCTGAACTAAGTTATATATACCGTTAGTACTTATTATAAGAAAACCAGTTTTCTTTGGAACCATACACCTTGTTACAAATCAGCCCCCTGGTAAACCTAATCCACTAAATTAATAAATATGAAAGCAGAAAGTTAGTTTAAACTTGTGCATACAACAGAGTCGCTTTACAGTGACTAGACACCAATTAACAGTCAGTGTAGCTGACACGTCTTGAATACATTTGTCAAAACTTATGCAACCTTTGTGCTAACACATTACCAAAGTGAATGATTTGACAATATTGTACAGTTAGAGTCATTTCTGTTTAATTTTAGCTTATAAGAATAAATGGGGTTCATCCTTACTGGCATTTCATAATTTGAGGCTAATTCGCCTATATACCTTAACAGATTGAAACCTAAGTCCTCTTTTATTTAATAGTTAGAGACATTTTCAATAGTTAACTTTTACAGATTGTTGAGGTACTGCTGCCTTGATGTTCTCTATATTTATTTCGCGTAGAATTCATGAAATTGTACGCGCTTTTACCATGTACGCATCTTGAAAATGCTATAGATTTAAGCAGCTTATAAGAATATGGGAATAATGGAACCTGATATCTTATTTTGATTTTTGATTTACAGCTTGATTCTACACTGTATTTTTGGTACAAGTATGGAATTTTCAGCATGGATATCGGTAGCCCAAATTTTGCAGGCCAACCATATATATCAGGTGTGCGCCGGCGTGAGCTCGAACCCCGGACCATGTGCATGGTCGGCGAAAGTCCTAACCACTGTGCCACCGACTGTGCCACTGAGCACCTAACATGTATTTTTACGCCTTGCTTAAGTGCATAATAAGCCCCTCCAGTCTAAACCGTTTGTTTCACAGTTTATATGCAATTGCATCAAGTGAAATAAAGATTTTTAGTTGGTCGTGATGACTAAATTTTGATTCTATCAATGAAATAAAGTCACTAGGAAACTTCAATTTGTTCGATTGTGTAACATCTCTTTGTTATAGTCCAGGACAGGTGTAATGTATCTTGAATTTATTCTAAGAGAAAAATTGTCAACCATAAACAACGCGTCTTGATATGAAAATACAAGCATTGTGCCTCATGTATATGTGCTTTTTGCCTCTTTTACAACCTTTGACATGTAAACAATCCGCAAGTTGACATGAGCCTGCTAAAAAATTCGGTAATGTAAATTGCATTTTTTTCAAGGATAAATTCAGTTGTATAAATGGAGCAAGTTAGTTATGCGAATATGAAAATGACTAACATCTAAGCTAAAAATCTTTATTGTGAATGGTCATATGAGCTTGAGGAGGTATAGTTGAATATGTATTGTCAATAATAAAAGGTAAAAATCCAGTGGTTTTTCTGAGGCTTACCCCTAGTCGACACTTGAAAACATCACGATCGAATTGTAATAAAACAAGATAACGGTTCAGAAGATCCAAAGCACAGTCCTCTTCCGAATAATGAATAATCTTTGCCAAGTAGTTTTGAACGGCCTTTCTGAAAGCTCTCCCCTGAATCGTTTAAAAAATAGATTCGGTGAGTTATGCAGTACTGTGAAAACCTAGAGTAAAGTTAATTCAAAAATAGAAATTAACTTAGTTGAAACAATAGTTTGTACCCTCGTGAATTTTCAGACCTTCACAACCTGTTGATTTCAGCAAAATTAAGTCAAAATGTGGGCTCACTGAATATTAAGGTAAATACATTGTTGAAAACGCTTCAAAAAGGTTATCATAAACAGCTATGCGCGTATTTTGCTAAGGAGCCCTAGAATGTAAATAAACGAATTTTCATAAAGTCCATTAACTGTTGGTAAAGAAAGTTTAAAAAAACCTAATTGGTGAACAAAAGACACACTTGTCAGCCACTTTTACATCAGGTTCTACAGTTATGTTTCCATAATAATGAAAGAGTTGTGCAAATAAATTACCGAAAACATCCAGGTACCAAACACTCTAGACAGCAAAGCCGACTGCAATTCGCCCAAAACAACCGGGGCTCCATATGCAGAAGAAACAGGCTCAACAACTAGTACTCTGGCCTTTACTGGACTCTATAAGATCATGGATTATGTATTACAATTTATATAATTTATCTGATATTCTGTGTAGTGTTATTTTGATGACTATTACCTCACTTACAGATGCTGTTGAAATGTAATCTATTGATATTATTGATTTGATGTTATTTAAACACTGATATTGTTGATTACCCTACTTTTTCCATTGTTATGGATATATAACTGAAGAACTTGGTAAAGACTTTTTTGGAAAGAATATTGCTTGTCAAGAAATCTCTTGAAATTTCTAACGGGCATTTTTGATCAATTAATGTTCAAAAACTCAAACGTCTGTTCGTATACCAACAGAATAAGTAAAGTAGGTGATTTTAAGTCCGATTATTTTTCTGCAGTACCATTTATCTTGAGGCTCATATATATATGCATATATCAGGTAATATGTATTTTAATGATCAGTAAGTAAAGCAAATTGTAATTATCCGTTTTTGGTTAGAAGTCACATAAAACAGTACCGAAAGATTAAAATATATATCAGTAGATTCAAACTAACCTTGTAGTTTTGTAAAACACATGGAGGAAAAAATGTCGACACATCTCTCACTTTTTCTACGGTCTCAATTATTTCTTTCACCGACAGTTTCGGAGATGATACGAAACTTCTGAACAAACAACAATACAAATGTTGCAGATCAAATTACCTTATATTCAAGCAGCCAACTTCGAATGCTAATTCAACATCCTTAATATTTTTCAAGCTGGAATAATATATATTTCTAGTCTCAAGATAGACTTTGATAAAAGTTTTTGAAAAGCATTTACCTGTTGATGAAGATAGAATAAAGTTGCCCTATCATTCCTTGCCGCCTCTTCAAACTTTGTTGGGAAAAGATATATAGAGAGTTTCAGTTCACCAATGTCATACATGTTCTGGATTTCAGTAAATGTAAGGTGTCGGCACAAGATATGCCTATAAGATATATCGTTGTCATATTTCCTCAATAACTGTATTCCATAAAGTTGCGGAGAAGAAGATAGAGATATTGTCTTCATTGTCACGGAAACAATTTCCTTCAATCAATGAAATCAAAAATCCATATAATATATTTACCTGGACTGTGGTTATCGATGAACATTTTACTGTGGCATAACCCATTTCAGTATGTACTTTTATAACATCCGTGTAATTTTCATTCATTTTGCAATTTGATTTTATTCAGGGTTTAAATTTCAAGTGAGTAAATGTAAAAGTCATCGTGTGAACATATATTCATTTCAAGAATGAGGCAAACGTTTAGGTCATCTGAGGGCCATTGGTCTTATACAATCTATGAATTTAAACGCAAAATCCTGAGTTCAATTTAAATGTGAGGTTGTTTAATCCCAGTGGCTTCTGATCTCCTCACTCAATGAATTAAAAAACGATTGGAGACTACTGTTGTTATTCTAGTGCTTTCATTTAATTCCATAGCTTGACACATATGTGCTGCATGAAATGAGCGACATGTGTACGCCGTTTGGAAATATTAATATTGCTCTGAGTTTGGTATCACCTTTGAAACATCCCAATTCCTATGCGCCCATCAAGCAGCCACATCAAATGTGAACGAGGTGAAAATCCTAGTGAACAGAATAAGTGAAGTATCCTACTGGTAAAATGTACTGGAACATGATAAAGGAGGCACTAGTCCCAAAATGTTGACCGGTTATTAACAACCACATAGCTGCTTTCTTCGTATTGACTTCAGTGTCCCTCTTGTACCATGATCGCTATTACCAACAAAGAACTTCGACAGACGTCTGTATTCTGATTCTCAGTTATACTTCTCTATAGAGTCCTTGATACTTAATTGTCTGTATTGTCTATTGCAGAACGTGGTGAACCTGCAAACCTAGTTCATATCTAAGCGAGATGTCAAGAGTTTGAAATCTGCTGATGATTTGTACCCATCTCTATATCAGAAAGATTTGAAACCTCCATCAAAAGAGCAAACGTAGAGCTCATCCACGCTGACGATCTCCATACCTCAGGTTTAGTACAGGTAACTGCAACAGCAGTTCATTCAGCTTCGTTGGTAACTGACATAAGAGAAATCCCGGATACCAATAAACTTACAGTGAAATTCACCTCATTGGACGATTTTTAGGTGAATCTTTTACACTGTGGAATTAGCAGTGTCAGCAGTACATTATAAAGTTCTATTAAGACCGGACACGTAATACTTTAATATGCCTGCATTTGCCACCTACTTTGGAACACCTCAAATTCACTGGCGTCAGTAGTTCAGAAATGACTTGTGTGTAAGGATCGCATGTGGTTTTTGCGTGGAGCATCGGATTTAATTTTGAACTATGGTCTTCTATCTTCGTATCAGAAAGTAATACCACATATCTGCATTTGGGCGTGAATGCTATTGGTACGACTCTGGTGGAAAAATACCAGCATAGATTACGTGGGACACAAAGAGGACACACGTCGGCTAACGTCAAATTTCTCTAGGATAGTCTCTGGGATAGTCACCGAGTGACCTGGGTAGAACGACAGCTAACAGGCATACTAGTGATACTGGCATTTATGTGCCCGTAAGACAGGAACCTCGACGAGTTCTGTCTAACTTCCGCCTGCAGCTTAGGATCACGATTGAGGAAATTTCGCACAAAAAGATAGTTACATTGGGAACAGTGAGCTTCTACTAGAGTACTCCTTAGAAAACAAAACGCGCCCCTCCGTTTATATGTTGATTACAAGAAATTAAATTCGGTGACACGGAAAGATGACTAACTCTTGCCGCGAATCGACGAAACGTTGGAAGCGTCATTGGGAACCATCTGGCCTATAAGCCCTTGTTTAACTTGAGGATTCTGGCAGGTTGGTGTGCACCCTCGTGACTAGCATATGACTGTTCTCACTAAACGTACCGGGCCATTTGAATCCCAGGCCATGCCTTCCAGCTTAAGTAATGTACCAGCAATACTTCAAACGTTTATTCGTATAGTACTTAGGGTAATGGCTCCAAATATTCTTATGATATATTAAGATGATATCATTGTTTTCAGCCAATCTACTGGAGAAGGCTTCTGAAGACTGCTCATAATATTAGTACGTTTGATGGACGAGGGGCTCAAGGTGCAGCCCACCTAAATCGTTTATCAAGAACGGAATTCACATTTCTGGGGTACGCGCACAGCACGAACGGCAAACAAAAAGAATTAATAAAGTTACAGCCGTTGGACAGTGTTCTTTACCAAAGTCTACAAGTGGGTTCGCAGTTTTCTGGGATTAGCTTAATATTATCGCCGTTCTGTGATGAACTATTCTGAAATTGCTAGCCTTTTGTCGAAGTTGGCCAGCACAAATATCCCTCCCTTATGGATGGAGTACTATGACAATTCTTTCCATCTACTGAAAGGTTTGTTGTACTCGATGCCCATTTTAGCCTTTTCGTATAAATCCTCAACTACCGTTGAGTATGTCTTATACACTGGTGCCAGTCAAACGGTTATTCGAGCGATATTATTGTTTCAGGTCATTGGCGAACGGTAAGAAAGTGTTATAGAATATATTAGTCACACATTGCGCTGGGCAGGAGAGAACTACTGAATTACTAGGAAAGAGATGTCATCCGCTATTACGTCCGTTCGTAAGTAGTGCCTCTACCTACTCGGCAAACCCGAACAGATCACAAGGTATTCAGGTGCTAACAAATCTTTAAGGTACCTGGAGGCCAGACTACTAGATGGCAGGAATATTTTCACGAATACGCTTTCGAATGTGTGCACTGTTGTGGCAAGCGACGACGTATCGAGACGGCATTGCGAGAAAATTGATATTTTTGCTACTTTTTTGGCATGACTGAGTAGACCACAGTGGATACATATCCAAGCTTTAATTGGTGAGACTGTAGAATCAAACTGGAAGATCAGCCGAAGCTGATGTAGAGGAGAAGAGTTGAGAAGCGAGGTAATTGTGGGACTTATTGGACGAGCTAGTAAATATGAATGGTGTTTTATGTGTTCGACCAGGTCCAGATTACTTGAGCTGGATTGTAGTCTCTCGGTCGTTCGTAACAGCGACTTTAGGCAACGTTCATTATGGCTCGGAGCTCACCGGAGTTAACAAGGTGCCGCAAGTAACCAGCCGACATTGGTGGTGGCCTCGCCACCGGGGTGGCTTCGGAGTCTTTGTACAATATATGGGTAACTGAAGAACCCTCCCACATAAGGTAGAGCCCCAATTATTAATGACGGCTCGGTATCCGAATGAAATAGTTGTCGTGGGTGTTATTAGACCTCTGCAGGATCCTTTGAGTGGCAAAAATACAACGCAGTTATGGTCGATTAATTTACAAAATAGTTGGAGGCTGCACCCCTTGATCGAACTTACTGTTCTATCATAGCCAAAGATATGTTTGGTTATTTGAGTGCCTGCTGGGTTCACCAGAAAAATTCCATTCTGATCAAGAAACGAATTTTGAAAACGTTTTGATCAGAGCCATGTGGTACTTAGTTGGAATCCAGAAGTCTAATACAACAGCGTATCATCCCAGAGGCAATAGATTAGTATATCGTACAAATCGGGTTTTGCTGACAACAATTTTATAGGCAGGATTAGAATCAGATCAAGATACCTTGTTACCACGATGCTTATTTGCCTGCAGATGAACTTAACTCAAGTGAAAGGTGAAGACGCCGCACCTGCTGTGGACTGGTCGTTGGTCACGCTTTTCTAATGATAGATTTGTCATACCCCAGTGGCACATTGGTCTTCTTGGAAATGGTAGTATGGTTGCAAGGAGAATTTGTCAGGTATCGTGGTTATACACATGAACAAACTGAGACAACAAAACAACAACAGAAACAGTGAAATGATACGAAGAACTGACGAGCATCATTAGGTACCAGCAACTGGTAACAGAAATTGGAATATATCCCAAGCGCGTAGTGAACCGCAAAGAAACAGAAAATACGTATAAGATACAAGCAGACGGGGATTATAACACGGAGGGGATGGTAGTGTATTCTAACTGGTTGAAACGGTTTAGACGAAGTAGACAGACTTCGAGTGTTTGTTTTGCTTCTACTAATAGTCATAGTAACCACATACCTATTTTATCAGGAGTAAATCCACGGAGGGGAGAAAGCAGGACGGAAGTAGCTGAGAACAGATTTTATGAAGCGAGGAGGTACTGTAGTGGCTCGGGTCATGAAAAAAGCGGCGTGTCAGTGTAGTTGAAGATTGAACGATCAATTCATGGTTGTTTGCTCAAACCCAACTCCTCCATATTTTTCGCGAGTGCCATCAATCCGGCAGTCATCGTCTCACCGTTCGCTGTTTAGAGGAAGATAAAAAATATCAGAAACCCTGTGTGATAACCTTATTGTTGGTTACATGTTGGCGTAAGAACAAAGGATTCTTGAATCGCCAATCGGTGTTCTGGTTTTCGCGTTGGTTATTATTGATTGTTTCTGAAAGTCTTCCAGGGACAGCGTGAGGTCCAGCGTAGTAAGAGCTGGACATTGAAAGTTTATGAGAGTTGGCTGACAGTTTCTGATAGTGTTCTCATAGTTTCCATTCGTCTTTCCTGGTGCCTGCAAGTCTTCTATGGACAAGTGTTATCTGTAACTTTTCTGGAATTTTAGTCAAGTTTAATAATGCCTGGGTCAAACATGGGACGAAGAGACTTGTAGGCAAGCAGGAAAGTAAGTAATCCTGAGTTTCTAGTTAATTGTAATGATATATATGATGCTCAGCATGATTAGTCTGTTGTTCATGGTTCGCCGTTTAAGGATAGTAAGGGTTTAAATTTAACTAAACATGAGCTTCGGTGTTTTGATGGAAACCCAGTTGACTAACCACAGTTTGTAAAGGAGTTTGAAGTCATGTTGATTGGGCTTGCAATAAATGACGAAATGAAGTTGATGCATTCGTTGAGGTATTGCACTGGAGTTGCATCGACAGCTAACCAGTGCTGAAAGTTTATGAAGCCAAACGAAGGATACTCTGAGGCTATGAGTAAACTGTGTCAAAGACCTTCGATGATTGTAGGGAAATTATTCGAGGCAGTTAAAGGTAATGGTAGTCAATTACAAGATGACTCCAACGCACTCTCTGAGTTTCTGGATAATCTGATGACCTACAAGAACGCATTGATTTCGATGAAGCGCATGAGCGATCTTAACTCAAGTTCAGTCCTAGAGGTAATAGCAAGACTCCTACCTACTCGACTGCAAAGGAAGTGGGTGAAGATAAGCTCTTGTACAGAAGATGAAGGTATCGAGCCAAAGTTTGATGATATCCTGAAACTGGTAAACAATAGTGCCAAT